TAGGGGAGCGGTTTGGCCGGATTCTTCTCCGGAGGCTGTAGAACTTGCTAGTGCACATCCGTGTGCTGTTCCTGATCGACCAGCCAGAGTGACTGGGGTTCTGCCACTCGGTGATAGAAAGAGGTCATACTGTCCACCCTAATGCCATTATCCCACAGGGTCCACCAATTACCCGTGAAGGTAACGGTACTGAAACGGTCTGGGCGATGCACGATGTACAAATGAATACGTGGGTCCACCATGTCAGGCATCAACTTCTACAGACCGGACTGGAGGTGCTCTCGTCTTTCCGTAAATGCGAGGGACAACACTTCCGGCGAAATGAGATCATTTGAATTCTGCAGATTGCACATCAGACGAACAGTCAATCTGGTCGTGACAGTCTCTGTCAGGCACCGCTGGCGCTAATAACTCCGTTGGCTCTGGCATGTGTTCCGGAGACAGACCGTCTGCAGTTGGGTGTTCCACCAAATGATCAGGGGGAGGATCATTGTCATGCGGCGTGGTGGAGGCATCGGGGCGAACTGGATTGGAAATCAGGGTGGGAGATGCAAGCAGCGAAGCTGATCAGCCACACTTGCACTCAGAGTGACCGTTCATCGTGCAAATGTTGCAACGGTGGGTGCACCTCGTGTCTGATGCACATGCAGGCCTGAAACACCGTAAAAGTCATCGCCACATTGTCGACAGCGGAGTCGGTATGTACTGTTCCTGCTCGCGTGCATCGGGCGCGATGACGTCGTTCTGTTCAGTTGGGAGCATGGTGGCGGACTAGATCTCTGACTCCCAGGGGGGGGCGCGATGATCATGCTGTTCATGTACAAACGAGGCCGCTCTCACGAAAAGGCGGCAGAGATGGGGAACGTCTCTGCTGAGAGGCATGTGTGACTGTCGGTCTGATCATAAATGTGTTGATGATGATGACAAAGGGGAGGAAGGAGAGAAGTAGGAGGAAGAAGACAGGAAGGCAGAAGATGGAGACGATGAAGTAGGAGGAGATGCAGGTGAGGGGGATGATGGTGGTGGTGGTGATGGCAGGGGGATAGGCAGGGGGAGAATCAGCGACGGCAGATGGTCGCAAACGATTAGCCCTGTGCTCAGCTCAACAATTCAGATCTCTTTCTTGTGAGTCACCTACAGGGTTGGTGTGTGTTGTAAATCCCTTTCCACGACAACAACCCCTTTTCCACCCAGATGAGCAGATCCAAAACTGAAAGAACTTTACCTCTATGGCCGACAACATGAGGCACATTAAGACGAGCAGATCCAAAATTGAAACAGCTTTCCCTCTATAGCAAACAACATGAAGCACACTCAAACTATTATATGGCCTTCTGCAATCCTTTCCTCCCTTTCCTTACTTTGGCTTTTTTGGGGTTTTCTCTTTTGCTATATGCTTGGAGCTCCCCTTTTACTGTGCCTGTCACGTACAGGGCTTGCCACATTGATTGTGGTTGAGTGTGACCCACATCCCCCTGTGCCACAACGGCCCACTTGCACGCTATGAACGGAGGGAAAATAAAAGGGGAGGTATAGTCCTCTTCATTTTTCAGCACACCTTCAGCTTATATTTTGTCTGTCCTCTGAATGATGATCCTTAGTATGCATTTAGCAGTGCTACGCAAGGGGAGGGAGGAAGGGAAGAGGGGGCAGGAGGAGTTCTACACAGACTACACAAGGGTGCAGAGGAGGGTAGCTATGTTACTGTATGAACCCCCTGAAAGCGTGTTCTGTGTTCAATCCCCCCCCGCCCGCTTCTGCGCGTGTTCAATTGTGTTCAAACGCACCACGTGACAGGGGGTGGGACAAAATCGAACACGCGCCCCCTGGGGCACGTGGCGTTCACACACACAAAAAAAAAGAACATAGAATACACCTCGCCCCCCCTTCCTCTGCTCCAGCCATGCCTCCCCCAGTGACGTGGAGAAAGCATCCCCCCCGCCACATGCTGTTGTGAGTGTGTGTGCGCGCTTTTGTGTGTGTGTGTGTGTGTGTGTGTGTGGAGAGAGAGAGAGAGAGAGAGAGAGAGAGAGAGAGAGAGAGAGAGAGAGAGAGAGAGAGAGAGCCTGTATGTCTGGATTGGCCAAACTATGGGCCGAGTTTTTGGACACTGCAAAATGCCCTTTTGTGCCATAATATCCTTGAGTGGGCCCATGTACCAGTTGCAGGACAAAAAAGGCCTACATCCAGCAACTCCTACCCTTGCAAACGGTGACGGCGGAAGGTGAGTGTGGAGGACAGTAGGAGCAGGTGGCAACAGCAAGGATGTGTGACGATACCGCATATAAGAAGATAGTTGTGGTGTAAAAACAAGTGTGGCAAGACTGGCATAGAGTGCCAGCATTGCCCAGTCCTTTCTAGCCTCTCTTCTCATCACTGAAATCTACTGAATCCTTCTCCAGATTAAGTTATACTTTCTGTTCCACACTGCTGACCTCAAGTTAAGCCTCAAGCATTTTGGACAAGCCCCGCATTACAGAGTCGTATACAAAGACACCGTGTTTCTGTTTCAATAAATATCTCTATACCGAGTGGGCCTGTTGATGAGAACAATATTTCAGCAAAAGAGGCCCAGCGAGCCGTCGTTGAGCACCTCCACTGCGCTGTTCCATGTAATATCACTCGTACTTGGAGAGGCCACTTGCAAAGCAGAAAGCTACATCGGCCTTCAAGGCGCACAAGCTAATACTTCAGTACCTTCCTCAGCACCAGGTGGAAGACTTCATAAAACTTACCCAGCCTGGTGGAGGGGACCACCATACTCATGCACCACACTGGCGCAGCTTCGCTGAGTGGGCTACAGTCACTACACTAATTATACTGTACAGGTCCACCATACTGCCGGTCACATATGCTGACCCTTGCCGCCAACCTCTCTATCAGCGAGGATGGTCGAGGGAGAATGGCATTGAAAAGCAATCCTTTTAATCATCTTTTATCAACTCCCACATGCACATGCGAGAAATTGTTGTTGAGGGAGAATGTTGTAGCGGAGCTGGGAGACAAGTGGAGGATAAACAAACACATTGTTATCCTCACCACCCCGCCCCCTCCCCCACAACACACACGTGCATGGTCGACCTTCATGTTCCCACGCTTCCCAAGTCTGAGAACACACGAGTTCTACCAGACTGCCCAACCTGAAACCACTCCAGGGACAAACAAATGCGCATAGCTGGGAACTGTGGGAAGGCAACACAGGTATGCCGACAGCCTTCATCACACGAATGGACACTTGAAAGGTTGTGTTGGAGAGGGGACAGTGCTGAGGGAGTCGGGACAGGAGGGAAGACGCGCCGAGTCTTCCCTGACTGCCGAGGTGGGCTCACACACTCACATGAATGGGCACTTGGCCTACGTTGTTCCCTCAACTTGCATCCATCACTTGAAAGGTTGTGTGGGAGAAGGGTCACTTGAAAGGTTGTGTGGGAGTGGGGACAGTGCTGAGGGAGTCCCGACAGGAGGGAAAATGCGTCGACTCTTCCCTGACTGCCGGGGTGGACTCACAACCTCACACGAATGGACACTTGGCCCTTGTTCCCTCAATCCGTCGCTGGAGAGCTTGTGTGGGAGAGGGGTCACTTAAAGGTTGTAAGGGAGAGGGGACAGTGCCGAGGGAGGCCCGACAGGAGGGAAGACGCACTAGGTCTTCTCTGACTGCCGCGGTGGACTCACATACTCAGATGAATGGACACTTGGCGTAGTCTTGGCCTACCTGGTTCACTCAACTTGCATCCGTCGCATCCTCTGCATTGGGTCTTCTCTAGCCCTCTTTTCAGTACATGTCAGTTCATCGTGCGTGCCTTCTGTCGATGATAGAGCTCTGTCCTTCCGTCCTTCTGTCCTTCTGTCCTGTCTTACAACAGCAAACACTCACGGATCACGGATGCCTTCCGTGGCTCTCTTCTTTCTCGCCCTCGTTGTGACTGTTCTGTTCAGATGGAGAGATCGAAACTTTACGGAAGTGCAAGTTGTCCCTGCTGTCCGTTCTTCCATCCTCTCTCAGAACAGCAGATACTGCACAGTTCCATACAACGTCATATATGAAAAAAGAAGGCAACAAAATTCACAATCCTGATGTCTGGCTCCACAATACGTTGGGATAACAGAGTCAACCCAAACAGCGTTTACTATATATCCATATTCTCCCTGAGGGAGATTGGAAAGGTCAAGATGGCTCACCTTTTCCCATGGACTGCGGTGCATTCTCCTCTCCCATTGGTGATGTGCCATCCTTCTGAATGGGAGAGTTGGCCAGAGTCACACACCCCACCAATGCTGTCCTTTACGTGGCAAACCACCTCTCACATTTGAATAGCAGAAAAGTGAACATATGCCACTATCTAACACGTTGACTCTCTCTCTCTCTCTCTCTCTCTCTCTCTCTCTCTCTCTCTCTCTCTCTCTCTCTCTCTCTCTCTCTCTCTCTCTCTCTCTCTCTCT